TAGAGAGCTCCTTTATCCCGGGAAAATGTCGTGGAGAACCTAACGAACGGGTTACCGGGGCTCCGGCTCGAAGTGCAGGAGTAGGAACGGGGTGGTTTTTAGTCAGTAAGAGTCTGACACTCCCTCCCGCCTCACCGAGGCGGGAGCAGTCATTCGAGGATTTTCCCCCGTTAAAATAAAAATCCCGGGAAAACGAACGAGTTGTATGAACGGGCAAACGAAATCATGGACAAAATCTAGTAGGTAACTAAACTATTGTTATTACATTATTTTTCTAATGCTCTAGTCTAGCTATAGTATGCTATCTCATATTATAATCTACTAATATACTATCGTAGTGTGTGGTATTCGGATCGATATTTAATTAATTATTATCAGATATTTACACTTAGTATCGAAAAGTATAATAAGGTTGTAAAGATTACTAGAACTTTATAGCTTTGTTTTGATTAACTTGCAGTATGCAAGTAAAATCAATGCAGTATTGATTCTCTTGGATTTTAAACTCGTTAATGAACAGAACGATCAAAAGTGTAAACTGCATTAAGTACTTATTCACTATAGGTGCCTGCCTATCTAAAGATTTCAACTTATGTCATTTGAAATAACTAGTTCCATATCACTGTCAACACTGCTAAATTATTCCACAGTGAATGCGTTATGCCTTGTTCACGCAACACTAGTATTTTAGTCGAGTAGCGAAAATTCAGTAGTTAGTCCTCTCTGGCTTCTGTCCCAAAATGGAAGTGAGAGAAAACTACTGCGAACAAGGCATTATTGTAAATAATTAGGAACAGGGGATAACTGTATGACGTTTCTAGAGATATCCGATCCGATCTATCCGAGAGAACCAAGGCAGGATACAAATACGGCCAGTTTCGATTACGTTAACCGCTTGGATGTCCGTATATGAAACATAATAGAAAATATATTGTCTCACGTGGATCCACACTTTTTTTTAAGGGGGGAAATTCATCGAATGACTTTTCCCGCCTGGGTGAGGCGGGAGGAAGTGTCAGACTCTTACTGACTAAAAACCACCTTGTTCCTACTCCTGCACTTCGAGCCAGAGCCTCGGCAACCCGTTAGGTTCTCCGCAGCTCCACGTTTAGAGTTTAGACACACGACGACGGATAAAACATGAAACACACTCGAACTAAGCCCTCTGCTGTGATTATTGTACCTAGGTAGGTATTAGTTTTTAGTCTAATTTAATATCAGAAGCTACAAGCTTAGCTGCACCGAAGTTTTAGGCAAAATTTTTGCTTTTGTCTTTGCCTTTTCAAAACAAAGAATTTAGAAATGGTTAATTTAAATTCAAATTCTTTTATTGCATATCATGTGTACAATTATTGGTGTTACATGAGGTACAGTTTCAACATGAAACCCGGCTAGGGCACAGCAACATAAATATGGAGCAAAATATAATCTAATTAAACTACTTACTATTAATAGCTATTATATTATAATATAACATAATTTCGATCCAAATAACATTTTTAGCGTGACCCGAGGACTATATTAATGGTTTCCCGTTCTCCAGGGGCACTTTCGAACATTAAACTGGATAGTTAACTTTATACAAAGACAAAAAAATCGACTTGGCCAACTTCACTTACGTGCATCTCATGCATACAAAATTTTCGTTTTACATTCGCATTCCATTTTTGAATATTGAACATCAACGCAATGGGGGTGTGTCATCTCTCTTTTTTCTTTTGTGTGAACCAAAATGCGTTTTTTATGCCTCCAACAAGTGCATACGAACCAGTTGACATTTCAATATCAATCAGATTGAAAAGTAAACGTAACAAAAATCAAATTCAAGGCAAACCACCTATAGCAATAGCAAAATAACTAGAATTCCTTATTACTATGAACAAAGAAAAATTCGTCGTATCTGCGAGTCATAAGATTTAATTTAGTTTGTTAAAGTTTTGTCGGCGTGGCTGACAAGCCGATTGAATTCTGGCTGCTGATTGGTCGAAAGTTACGGTTGTGAATGTATGTGAAATGAATTGCATTGTTTGTTTTTACACAATACGTATGGCCAATTAATTTTTATGTACATTATGAGAAGTTTGAAAACATCTGGAGAAAATACAGTTATTTAGTTAATGTGTTGATTAGACCAAAAAGAAAAAAAATTACTCGCTTCCATGATATTGTTTTTGTATTTTAAAAATCATAGAATCGTGATAACCATTTAATTATCGAACGTTTAATTACACATTACAATTTTTTCTTATTGACTTTATCTTGCGTTAATTTTTATGACATAATTTTGTATTCAGCTACAAAATTAAAATCAAATAAAATACGTCAAAGGTTCCGAAATATTATAAAGTACACGTTAGCATTGAAAATAGTTGATAGCATTATATATTTTACATTCATAAAATCGGCATTGACATTTTCGGCGGTTGAGAAGATTCCGCTTAGGCAAAAATAAATGATATAGGTTATGAATATAATTATTGCGTTTAGCCACTAATTAGCAATTACGAAACCTAGGAATGCTTTATTCTCAAGGCAAGCCTTTCAACTTTCGATTTAACACTTGTGTACGAAAAATAGAATACAAACATTATTTACTTACCCTTCTACTCCACCGAAGTACCTCATTTTGTTATCACTAACTTGAAGAAAATTATAAACGACGCGTACAACACAATAAATAACTGCAACGATTTATTACTATTACGATAATGATAACCCGTTTGTTATAAAATAACCACAAACACACCCTTCAACAGTGAAAGCGGACGCTCAACTGAGTGAATGAATAAATGAAGTTTGTTTCCAAGATTGAGAACGAGATGGTTTAGTTGTCTGTACGACCGCTTGTTTTGGTAGTGTCGTACCGTGTATTCTTGTTCGTCGGATAACGGTTATAACGTAGTTATAGCGGATACAACTATAGTTTAAATTGGGTTATTTGTTTCGTAGAATATAAAGTGTTTTAGTTATTTAATTAACACTGATGTCATTAATATTTTCCATTATTCTAATGACATATCAATCTATTTTCTATACTATAATTATACTAATGGCATTGTAATTTTGTTACGGTATTTATGAACGATATCATACTTGTAATATTATAATTCATGTGCAAGTTTGTATGTTTGTTACTCTTTCACGTCAAAACGCTTGAAGGAATCGAGATGAAATTTAAAATAGAGGTAGGTTATGGTCTGAAATACAGACAGGCGACTTTTATCCCATTGCAACGCGGGCGAAACCACTGACAGAGGCAAATTTGTCAATATATAATGTATCTCTTAACATAAAAAGCATCTCTGACGATTTGTTTGAGTTTCGATACAAAATATTTAGGGTAATCTGGGAATAAAACGAAACCTCTGTAGAAAGTAATCAAGTGTTGTAGACTAGACAGGCAGTATCTATTGTGTTTAATAGTTGCTCAATTTATTAATAGTTGTTTATGGAATAAGCCGGTAAACGAGCAGACCGATTACCTGATGGTTAGCAATCGGGGCCGCCACTGGACACCCAAAACACCAGGGGTGTTACAAGTGCGTTACCGGGCGATTGGGGATTAGAGACCGGAGGTTTATTGAGGATTCGGGAATTGGAGAAGGGAGGTAATTGGGCCTCCGGTAACCTTACTCGCAAGATGAAACACAACGCAAGTCGTGTTGTTTTACATCGGTTTTCTGTGAGGCTGTTTTACTTTTTAATGTCGTTGAAAGGTCAATGTAGAATCGAATTAAAGTCAATAATGAAAAGGTCAATAAAACAAGATAAATAGGTAACATCTCGTATATTAATCCACAGTAATATTGGTATCGCTCACACGTAAACATACAACTCGCCTAACGAATATAATGTTAAAACATCGAATACACAATCGAATAAAGTTGAGGAACGTTGAGATCTTTATTTATTCATCGACTATTTAGATACCCGTTTATGCTAATCGTAGGTTGGTAGACAAGTCATTACATATTAGAATACTTTATTATTTTGGTTGTTCATACTCCAACTACGTTATTTTAGTTACTGTTATACAAACAAGTTATTCACTTATTCGTCCACTTGAAATCACTAGGAGTTTGTACATTTGCCTTAGATAGATTCTTTGATTTATATTTTGATTTTTATAGTCTATGTTAAGTTCAAAGATACAGTTTACTTATAAAAAACAGGCACTGTCGACCTTCGATATTTAAGGTCAGTTCAAACTACGAAGGTATATAGTAATAGCTTAACATCATATTGACTTACATTTTTGATAGTTTTATATTGCTTAGATTCATAATTTCTTTTAGTTATTTCATAACGAAACCTGCTTTTTTAAATAAGGCATTATTTTTTTTGGATTTGTACAAAATTAGAGCTATTGTACAGTTCGTGGGTTAAACGTTGAGGGTTAACGTGACAATGTTTCATGTGTATAACGTTGAAACTTGAAATTTATAAAATATTAGGTTGGAAAATATGTTAAGTATTTCAAAGGTTCAGTAGGTTAGAAGGAAGTAACAGAAGGAAAATAAAAATAAAGAAAAATGACCAGTAAAGGTAACAATAATTATGAAATGGTAAAGGGACACAGGAAGTTACTTTTAGATTTAAAATGTTAGGACTTCTAGCTTATCTACTTATGGAAAAGGGACAATGTTATTTTATAGGCATTAGGCATAATTATACTTAGATTACTCTTAGAGTTGAGTAAGGATAAAGTAACTAGGATAAGAACTACATGACGTATCAGTTATAAGCGTTTTAAAATTGGAGATACTAGAAAAGACCCAGAGCGTGCTTATACATGAACATTTATATATTCTGTGCAATTCACGCCCGATAGTCTAATAGATCTAATTTATACCTTAACTTATTTTTTTAAATTTCCTCTTTACAACATTAATTTTGGTTATTTGACATAGTTTTATTACATAATATTAGGTACAATTAAATTCTGACAGTCTTTTCAATAAATAAATTCACTTTTAAAAAACATTAACTGAAGTGCGCACAGTTATAATATTTAAAACAGCTCGTTATTAAGCTATTTATACAAAATAACGATAAAATAACCAAGTTATTTAGACGTTACAACGTTATATAATTTTACACACATTTACTTATGCTAACAATTATGACTTCTACAGTAGGACGCGTTTAGTAACAATATACAGATAAAAAACGGTATTTATATACTGTGTTACGGTATTTTATCAGTTATTAAACGCTAACGTTGTCTTTAACTAAACGCATGCGACGGTTGACTGGAACTGCGGGTTTTGCCGTCGCATTGCTCGCCGTCACCTGAAAAACAAAAAAAATCTCATTTAATTGTTATCAGCGACGAAGTTACTTTAAAAGTAAAATACAATATCTTGATTTAAAATTGAGTTTTAACGACATCTCAACAACACTTTATGTAACTAGCGTATCTTATTCTTAGTTCCATACAGCGTACATAGGTGGCGCTGTTTTAAGTTTTTTATTATTTAACAGTACATATGTTGAGAATGCAAAGTATAATTCAGTATTAAAAAGTTAATCATAGTACATGTTTTTTTTTTACATATGAGCTAAATCTTTATTCATATCATAAAGGAGATTGACCAAAAGCAGTCTAGCAAAGTTTCAAGTTGAAAAATCAAAATAATATAGAAATAATTTTCTTATTTTTAACAACCTTTTCACTTCAGGAATTGTATTTTCGTATCCGGAATTATGATGATAAGATTAATAGTAACATAAAAATTGCTATGGAATTTCCGTTTCAAGGACATTGACGTTCCGTGCTAACTTACGAATAAAACTTCGTGTTTACGAATTACATAAGTAGAACCTTTCGGCAAAATCATCACAAGAAATATGTCAACTTCAATAAATAGCTAAATAATTTGTAATATCAATACATTTTACAAAGTATTTATTTAGTATTTTGTAGTATTGTTACAATTATAATTATTTTTGTATTCCGTCTCACGCAGAAGCAACTGTCATGCATGACATGTGACAGACAGAGCGGCGGCATTTGGATGCGACGGCTAGGGATGTCGTATCTATGTTTTAAAAATATACCAATATCGATATTTAAAAAAAAAACATCGGTATGATTTCAAAGAAAATATTAGCTCTCTAAGGGTTAAAACTGAAACGTAGGTATCCAAGCTAAACTGGCCCGCGTCGGCAGTTTTATAGCACTTTCATATACATATATGAATATGTTCCCGCTTATCGCGTTGCTAGTAGTAGGTACAATTGTACTGTTTGTTTGAATTGTTTGTCGTCCTGGAAAAATTATTTGGCTTTTATAACAAATGAATTATAGTTAAATACAAATCATGTCATGTCAGGCCTGTATTGTTTCAATGTAATAAAAGACCTGTGCGGTTGAGATATATAAACTTAACCCGAATTTGGTGATGTGAATTAAAATGCGATACGACATACGATGAAAAGTACGATACGCACCTACCTATCCGTGTAGGTATATCTTATGGTGGTGTACCAAAACAAAATAACGGTTTATCACATAGGTAGCGTTGTATCGATACGCGTCGCGTGCGACACATATCGCCCATCTCTAGGCTAGCGGCAGACATCAGTCACTCACTGTTTGTGTTTTTTGAGATTGATAACAGTCACTGCGCTAGTATAGACACAATTAAAGAACAATAGGTTACGGTCACCGGTGACCGCACGGTGTTTGACAGTTTAAACATAATTTTAGGTTATTTTCGTTTTTGTCTAATTACTTAAAAACCCGGATATTTATGGGAAAATTAACGCTTTTATTCGATAATATAATAAGCATGGTCTATAATAAATAAAGATTTATTGTGCAACAACGTAAGACGAAATTCCATAGTTACGTGAACATTCTCCTTT